CTCATTGTTCAAAGTGTGGTGGGATACACACATGCAAGATCATGTCTTATGAATCGAGGTGGTGGAATACAAGTAAGTTAGAGGGAAAATATGAGATCATGTTATGTACAAACGACAAATGTGGTTGTGATGTCTATATTGATATTGTGTAGGTTGTTAGGCTGAATATTGACGATCGAGTGACAATTGAACAAGAGTTGTGTGTTGCAACAACTTGAGTGGGAGTCTATGTGGATGAAAACACTGGGAACCAATACATTAGGGTTAGTGTGACTTATTTCATTTGCTTTATTTTGCATGAACTTCCTCATAATGTGAACCATGACTTTGTTTCAGCTCAATGGAGCAGGAGGTCATCCTGTAGGTGGCACTCAACCCACAGTTGTGGATATGCAAGAAAGTCAACCCCCACCCACGCAACCTTAGACTTGGCTGACCATGAGGTACTTTATTTTTTGTACAAGCCTATGTAACTGTCCTCCCTAAAAGAGCTTTTTGAAAGTTGACAGAATGGAGGGGTACCAAAAGTTTCTGGATCTTTTGGGTAAGGTACATGTCAACATCCCCTTCATTGAAGTCATCTCGAAAATGCCTCAATATGCCAAATTTATGAAGGAGATTCTCACACACAAGAGAAAAATGGGAGATGTGGCTTTGGTTGTCCTGAATGAAGAATGCTCTGCCACAATCCTCAACAAGAGTCTACCAGAAAAACTCAAAGATCCAGGAAGTTTCACTCTATCATGAATTATCGGTAAACTAGAAGTGGAAAGAAGTTTGGCCGATCTCGGGGCAAACATTATTGTTATGCCATTTTGCCTCTATCAACAACTTGGGCTAGGTGAGCTCACTTCGACCAAGATGACGATCCAACTAGCAGATAAATCCACACGCCACCCCCTTAAAATCTTGGAAGATGTGCTCATGAAGGTGGGACCATTTGTCTTCCTAGCAGATTTTGTGATCATGGATACCGACGAGACTGATGTTTCGCTAATCCTTGGTCGTCCCTTCTTAGCAACGATCAGAGCTATAGTGGATGTTCATGATGGGAGGCTCACTCTACGAGTTGGAGATGCCAGTGCCACCTTTCGACTAAATGATGGAATGAGATATGCCCATGTTCATGATGACCTCAACTCAATTGATGATGAAATTGAAATGACATCTGTTTCGTGCATCACCATATTCCCGGAGGAAGAAAAATTTGAAGTATTCTAAATTACTAATCTTGAAGAAGAAGGGGAAGATTCTTAGCATCTTGAGAAACAACAAGAATTACTAAAGAAGAATCTAATTTTTCAGAGGAAGAACTACTGGAGGAGGTGGTTGAGCTCCCTATAGTTCCCCTCTTGAAAACTTCCTATGATGAACCACCAACTTGGAGCTAAAAGCATTACCACAACATTTGGAGTATGCCTTCCTCAGCAACAACTCCAAATTGCCGGTCATCATCAACTCATCTCTTTCTCCACAGCGGAAGGAACAACTAGTGGCTCTACTGAAGAAACACATAAGAGCCATTGCTTGGAAGATCACAGACATCCAAGGGATAAGTCCATCCTTCTGCACCCATAAAATTCTTATGGAGGCCGAATACAAGCAGTGGTACAACCACAACGTCACCTAAATCCAAACATGAGAGAAGTGGTAAAGAAGGAAGTCCTAAAGCTTCTTGATGTCGGGATAATCTATCCAATCTCTGACAGCCCTTGGGTCAGCCCAGTACAAGTAGTTCCGAAGAAATGAGGCATGACTGTCATTCCCAATAACAAAGGGGGACTCATCCCAACCCGAACAATTACTGGTTGGCGCGTTTGCATCGACTACAGACATTTGAATGATGCTACTCGGAAGGATCATTTTCCTCTTCCCTTCATTGATCAGATGTTGGAGAGGTTGGCTGGCCATGAATTCTATTGTTTCTTAGATGGCATGTCCAGATACTTTCATATTCCGATAGATCCAGCAGATCAGGAGAAGACCACTTTCACATGTCCATATGGTACTTTTGCTTATAGACGTATCCCTTTCGGATTATGCAATGCACCTGCCACATTTCAAAGGTGCATGACAACGATCTTTGGGAATCTAGTTGAGGATGTTGTAGAGGTCTTCATGGATGACTTCTCTGTCTATGGAGATTTCTTTCATAATTTTCTATCAAATATGGAGAAGGTGCTTACTCGATGTGAAGAGACACATCTTGCATTAAACTGGGAGAAGTGTCGCTTCATGGTGACAGAGGGAACTATTCTTGGCCACAAGATCTCAAACAAAGGCATTGAAGTTGATCGTGCAAAGATCGAGACAATTGCCGCTCTTCCCCCACCATCTTTTGTAAAAGAAATATGTAGTTTCCTAGGCATGCGAGATTCTACATATGCTTCATCAAAGATTAGTCAACCTTTGACCAAGTTTCTGGAGAAGGATGCAGTTTTCTCATCTGATGAGAAATGTCTTCTAGCATTTGAGTTCTTGAAGGAAAAACTCACTAACTCTCCCATCCTTATGGCTCCAGATTGGAACCTACCATTTGAGCTCATGTGTGATGCCAGTGATTGTGCAGTTGGCGCTGTGTAGGGACAAAGAAAAGAGAAGAGGTTCCATCCAATTTACTATGCCAGTAGAACTTTGAATGATGCTCAAAGGAAATACACCACCACAGAGAAGGAGATGTTGGCCAATGTCTTCACTTTTGATAAATTTCGTTCATATTTGGTGCAATCCCATACAGTGGTCTTCACAGATCATCAGACACTCTGATACCTTCTATCAAAGGCAGATGCTAAACCGAGACTCATTCGATGGATCTTACTACTCCAAGAATTTGACATAGAGATCAAAGACAAGAAAGGAGTCACAAATGTAGTTGCTGATCATCTATCTCGTTTGGAGGGTGCTGAGTTTTCTATTTCAGATCCAGTCGAAATCAATGAGTCATTCTCGGACGAACAACTCTTCGAAGTCATCATCAAAGAAGCTGAAGGACCATGGTTTGCAGACATGGCCAATTATCTGGCTGTGGGACTACTTCCCCAACACCTATCATATCAAGAAAAGAAGAAGTTCTTTGTTGACCTAAAGAACTACTTTTGGGATGATCCATTCCTATTCAGGATAAGATCTTATGGGATAATCTGTCGACATGTTCCTGTCACCGAGACACATAATATCATCCATCATTGCCATTCCGGCCAGGCAAGAGGCCACCACAGTGGAAATTGTACAACAAGAAAAGTATTGGAACTCGGATTATACTGGCCCGCTATTTTTTTAGATTGCGACCACTTTGCTAGAAGTTGTGATGATTGTCAACGGTTTGGAAACATATCTCGTCGGGATGAAATGCCACAACACATTTTTCAACCCATCGAGATCATTGATGTCTAGTTGCTTGATTTCATGGGACCCTTCCCATCATCTTCGGGCAACAAATACATCCTGGTGACTGTTGACTATGTGTCAAAATGGGCTGAAGCACAATCCCTTCCCACGAATGATGCTAGAAAGGTGGGGAAGTTTCTCCAACAACTATTCACCCGATTCGGAGTACCTCAAGCAATAATCAGTGATCGTGAAACTCATTTCCAAGGTCAATTTCACAAGGTGTGTACTCGATTCGGGGTGACACATCGGCTATTCACATCCTATAATCCACAAACAAGCGGTCAAGTAGAGCTGACAAATCGAGAGCTCAAGCAAATACTCCAGAAAACGGTTGATCAATCTCGCAAGGATTGGTCAACTAAGCTTAATGACGCATTATGGGCATATCGCACAGCTTTCAAAAATTCAATAGGCACCTCGCCTTATCGGATGGTGTATGGTAAAGCTTGCCACCTACCAGTGGAATTGGAGCATAAAGCATTTTGGGCTCTCAAATCACTAAACTTGGATCTTGGAGTAGCAGGTGAAGAAAGGATCCAGATGCATGAAATGGAGGAGTTTCGCTTTCATGCCTATGAAAGTACATGCCTTTACAAAGAACGCACCAAACGAATCCATGATGCAAAATTGAAATGAAAGGATTTCAAGGCTAGAGATCGAATGCTTCTGTTCAACTCTCGCCTTCGACTCTTTCCTGGAAAACTCAAGTCCAAGTGGTCTAGTCCATACACAATCAGCACGGTCCATCCATACGGCACAGTGGAACTTTTTGGTGAGGACAATTCAACCTTCAAGGTAAACGGGCATCGACTAAAACTCTACCTTGCCTTGGAGCAGCCTTCCAACCTTAACGTTGTCCACCTCTCTGCCCCCAAATTAAGCTCCACATTGTCCCGCTATCTGACTCACTCCTACTGTCACCCTAGAAAATGGCCAAGTATAACCACTTCCTAAAGCGTAGTATAGCGGGTCGGGTTTTAATGTCAACCCGGGTCCTAGATGTGATGACTACTCGGTGAATTCTTGTTATTTAGCAGTGAACTTTTAGTGAAACTCAAGCAAACAAAACACAAAGCAAGTGAACGGTTTGTTGTCAAGTCAAGAGAGGTCACCCGGATATGGTTTCCCCCTAGACTGCAGTTAAGTCGGATTGCAATTTACCAAGTTCAATTTTCATGAAAGTTATACTGCGGAAGGTTCTCAATTAGCCTGAAGTCTCGACTAAAGGTCTCCAGACCCTCTCAATCTGAGTCTCTAGCGGGCGACTAACCTCCACCGGAGTAAACAGATTGAGGCCCTAATGAACCAAACCTCCACTACCGAATTGACTTCGGTACAGAATAGCGAATTGGCTCCTCGACTAAAGTCACCAATTCGCCACCTTCGATTAAGGGTACTCTATCAACCTAGGCAGATATTCTCATTCCAGGTCAAAGCAGAAACAACAGGAATTTGATCAGGATTCAAGTCATTCAATCATTCAAACCTCAATCGAATATAATCAATTCACAAACACTGTACTTGGGTTCATACAATCAGACCTAGCATACAAATCTAGGGTTCTCCATACCCAGATGAATGGGGAAACTACTCCATAGAGAAAGAAGCAAAAGCAGATTCAGACACGGAAATCATACTGTGAAGTTGGATTCCTGCTTCTGGACGTTTAATCGCACTTCTCCAAGCTCAAGACGGGCTCCAATGGTGTTGAAGATCGATCTATGGCGCTTGGGAACTCTGGTTCGACGCTTTCTCTCTCTAGGTATCGGTTTCTCTCTCAAAAACTCGGAACCCTTCAATGTTGGCCTTCTTCTCTCTTAAATCCTCTGCCTGGTCGCGATACCCGGTCAAAATACCCGGTCGGGTATTTCGGGTTCTGACCGGGTATCTCTGCAACGCCCCGTTTCACTAAAGAGGGAAATACCCGGTCCAACACCAAAATCCCCGACCGGGGATTTAACTGCTGTGCCCGGGCCCCTCTCTGTTTCTCGGGCGCCCAACCTTGGTTAATACCCGGTCGGGTATTTGGCCACCTGACCGGGTATTTTGCTCCTTCAGCCCTATTCGTCCCAACCTTGCTCCTTTCGACCCAGAACTCGTTTCTCCGCCTCGATTCCAACGCCGGGACCTGAAATATGACATAAACACACAACCTAGCGTGAAATCGGCTTAAACCACGAGATTCCTCGTCGCAAACGGCCTCAGAATAGGGGTAAAAACATGTATAATTATCGATCTATCAAACTCCCCCACACTTAACCGTTTGCTTGTCCCCAAGCAAACCAAGTCAGACACTAGGTAAGCTTACATATTCCAATCAACCAACACTGGGGACAAGTCATAAGGGCACAAAACACGTGAATCGCACTGGTTTTCAAACATCAATACATGCACAACCTCAATAACAACCTGGAAACCACCACAAAGGACATTCGAGTGCAGCAAATCGAGTAAAGGAAGAGTCTCCCGTCTGTTCACTAGCCAACCTAGACTTGATTCAACCACTTACTCAAAACAGTCGACTCATGCATCCAACTCAAAGCATCAGAATAGAGACCGAGCAATCTAGGTCCTCACCGGGGTACAAGAGCATATAGAAAATGGAAATGAATCACTCACTCTCGACCAGTGGGGTCAGGACAATTTTTGATGCGAAAGATGCGCATGCTATTTCTCTCAATCCCTATCATCTCTTCACCATGATGGCAGCCTCTAAATGCTAGAGTTCACATATGGGGTGGTCACCACTAACTAATCAGGAGGTCTTAGACACAGGTTCAAATGACTGGTTAGGGTCTTGGACATGGGGAAAAGGCCTTTTAGGTGGTGGAAGTATTCATAGCAAAAAGGTTCCACATTTTCCAAACACACAATCACAGTCAACCAACCCGGTATTTTCTTTCTGCTATTCTGCATTCCTCAATATCTTAAGAGCACAAGAGCGAAGGAGGCATAATCATCAGCATTTCCAAGCCAGACTGCTAAGAAACACTGCTTACTGGGCATTACTCAGATTTTTGGTAGTGGCTCTCTTTTGCTTTCAAATTTTTGCTTTGTTTTTCTTTCATTTTTTCTTTTCATTTCTTAAGAGAGCCACCACTTCTGCATAAATTTCAAACACCTGCCCAACTTTTTAAGCACTACCTCCAACACTCACATAGACTTTAGCAGAAACAGCAGAGAATATGTAAAAACCACTCTGTGGAACCTTCTAAAAGATGCAACAAGGGTGATTTTTTTTCATTATAAACCAAAAGAAAGGATAACACACGGCTCAAAGGGGCTGACTAGGGGATATGACACATCAGGACAGTCAGTTTTTGGGCGTGGGCTAATCCTATGCCCCCATCATCTTAGCTAGTGACAACGTGAATGCTACACATCATGGAAGAGGGATCTATCACACAAGAAAGAAACGAGCAGGCTCAAATCTCACATGGCTACCTATATGCTCTATCTCACATTCTGATACCCTGAACTAGATGCATAAACGACTGTCAAGAGCAAGTAATCAGATCAAGTCAGATCAAGTCACAGTTGGCAAGCAAACAGTTGAAAAACTGAACCCCTACATCGTTCTACTGCACATCTCAGTCCTCATCATAGGTTGTCCTAGTCGCAAACAAGTTGTCATGCATTAATCCGAAAACCAATCAATTCATCCATCAAAACACAGTGCCAATATGATCAAACAGCAGTACTCGGAGCCCTCAAATCGTAAGATTTGGACAGTGGACTAGGCTCCAAGCACACAAACAGAGCTAATGCAGTCAAAAGATAAACATCCCCCCCACACTTAAGATCGACATTGCCCTCAATGGAGAAGAGGGAAGGAAAGGGGAACGATGTTACCGGTATGCACGGACTGCAGAAGACTGGAAATGGACCAGTCGGCATGGGACGGACTGGAGAGAGGACCAGTCGGGAACACAGGCAGAGCTAAAAGAGACCAAAAAGCTCAAACACATACGTTAGGTCCAACGGTCAGCCCAATAGTGCATCGTCCAAAACAAAAGGAAACAAACCAAAACCGAACCAAATCGCAATCCGACTCGAAACAAAACAAATAAATGAAAACCATGGTGGGGTTGCCTCCCCACAAGCGCTTCTTTACCGTCTTTTAGCTGGACGCCCATGGTGGATACTCAGGGAGGTGCAGGAACAGGTGCCTCCAAGAGCGGATCCACATCGCTCTTGAGGTACAGCTTCAGGTGGTGACCGTGCACCCGACGGTTGCAACCACCAGCAGAAGTCAGCTCGACCTGGCCATCCGGCAAGATGCAGGCGAGTGAGTACTCGGATGGCCAGGGTGGTCGTGGTGCGGGGGGTGGGACCAGCTCATAGTGGTCTCCACTCTTCTTTCGTGCAGGCTTAGCCACTTGCGGCTTCGGTCGCCACTCCTCCTTGAGCTTTTTGTTCGGAGGCGAGACTGGATGGAGTGGCGACGAAGGAATGATAGGCGGGTCCTGCAAAATGAGAGGTGCAGAAGGATGCACGACAGGCTCGTGTATCTGATCAAAAATAGCATGCACAGGCGATACAGAAATCATAGCACAATGATCAGACTCAGTCACAGGAAAAACGGCCTGTCACGCGGGTGACCCGGGTTCGGTCCCCCGGCAACGGCGCCAAAAACTTGACTCACTCCTACTGTCACCCTAGAAAATGGCCAAGTATAACCACTTCCTAAAGCGTAGTATAGCGGTTCGGGTTTTAATGTCAACCCGGGTCCTAGATATGATGACTACTCGGTGAATTCTTGTTATTTAGCGGTGAACTTTTAGTGAAACTCAAGCAAACAAAACACAAAGCAAGTAAACGGTTTGTTGTCAAGTCAAGAGAGGTCACCCGGATATGGTTTCCCCCTAGACTGCAGTTAAGTCGGATTGCAGTTTACCAAGTTCAGTTTTCATGAAAGTTATACTGCGGAAGGTTCTCAATTAGCCTGAAGTCTCGACTAAAGGTCTCCAGACCCTCTCAATCTGAGTCTCTAGCGGGCGACTAACCTCCACCGGAGTAAACAGATTGAGGCCCTAATGAACCAAACCTCCACTACCGAATTGACTTCGGTACAGAATAGCGAATTGGCTCCTCGACTAAAGTCTCCAATTCGCCACCTTCGATTAAGGGTACTCTATCAACCTAGGCAGATATTCTCATTCCAGGTCAAAGCAGAAACAACAGGAATTTGATCAGGATTCAAGTCATTCAATCATTCAAACCTCAATCGAATATAATCAATTCACAAACACTGTACTTGGGTTCATACAATCAGACCTAGCATACAAATCTAGGGTTCTCCATACCCAGATGAATGGGGAAACTACTCCATAGAGAAAGAAGCAAAAGCAGATTCAGACACGGAAATCATACTGTGAAGTTGGATTCCTGCTTCTGGACGTTTAATCGCACTTCTCCAAGCTCAAGACGGGCTCCAATGGTGTTGAAGATCGATCTATGGCGCTTGGGAACTCTGGTTCGACGCTTTCTCTCTCTAGGTATCGGTTTCTCTCTCAAAAACTCGGAACCCTTCAATGTTGGCCTTCTTCTCTCTTAAATCCTCTGCCTGGTCGCGATACCCGGTCAAAATACCCGGTCGGGTATTTCGGGTTCTGACCGGGTATCTCTGCAACGCCCCGTTTCACTAAAGAGGGAAATACCCGGTCCAACACCAAAATCCCCGACCGGGGATTTAACTGCTGTGCCCGGGCCCCTCTCTGTTTCTCGGGCGCCCAACCTTGGTTAATACCCGGTCGGGTATTTGGCCACCTGACCGGGTATTTTGCTCCTTCAGCCCTATTCGTCCCAACCTTGCTCCTTTCGACCCAGAACTCGTTTCTCCGCCTCGATTCCAACGCCGGGACCTGAAATATGACATAAACACACAACCTAGCGTGAAATCGGCTTAAACCACGAGATTCCTCGTCGCAAACGGCCTCAGAATAGGGGTAAAAACATGTATAATTATCGATCTATCACTATCACAACGGTAAAGAAGCGCTCATTGGGAGGCAACCCAATACTCAGTTTGCATTTTCTTAACCTTATTTGTTGTGATTTCTTCTTGTTCTATTTTTTTGTGCTTTGAATTTTCTTTTAAAAGATGTGTTTCTGTGTCCCCACTTGTTTTTCACGTCCATTGAGTACAATGTCCAATTTAAGTGTGGGGGTGTATTGTGTGGCGTGAACTTCATAATTTTATTTATATGGGTGTTTTATGGAGAAAAAAATTGTGATATAAAAAAATTGTTTTAATAGTGGGTATCTTTTGTTTTTATTTGAATTTCGTGATAATTACTATTGATGCATGAATATTGTGATGTGGACATCCAGCAACCTATTATGATGACTGAGGGATTAAAATGAATGTGTCTCGTGTTACTCTTCCTTAGATGGCAAAAATTTGTATGAAATCTTGAATTGGTCGATTGTCATCTTTGATTGTCTTTGCATAGTCACTAGAAATCGTAGCATGAGAAACCGAGCATTTAGGAAACGAAGTGAGAGTTGAGCCTGTTCATTTCTTTCTTCTATGTTTTGATCCCTCTCTGCATGACGAATATGCTTGATAATTGCAAAATATTTGAGTCGTGAAACCACTGAGGAGAACGATGGAGGCATAGGTTTACCCCACTGCCCAAATGACTACCCGAAACTTCATATCTCCTAGTCTAACCCCGTTGAGACGAGCCTATTTGTTCGGTGACAACCTGTTTTAAACCAATTCTTGTTCTTCAAGCCGTATTAATTTGAACTCTTCTTTTCAATGTTCCATCAGAATGGCTTAAACAAATGACTTTCTGCTTATTACATAAACAAATGACTTTGGAAATTGGGAGAAATTGTTTCTAAAAGTGTTGTTCGTAAAAATAAATTTTGCCCACTCTATAAAAAAAAATGAAAGATACACATATACATGATACTAAAACAAAAGAGTTGGTCATCAATTTCGTGCACTTACAAAAAGGAGTTTTTCTTCAAAAGCCCAATTCGGCTACTTTCAAACTCCAAAATATCTCCAAATGCTTTCTCCCATTCCAATCATTCTACTAAAAAAGTAGCAAGGTCCTGGTATTGGTATGAAAATTGTGGAACATTTAACTTACCACTAGATTAAATAAACTTTCACATGTCCATGCCCCCAGCCACAATGTGACCCATTCAAAAGACCTCTGAACAAGTCAGTGGTGACACAAATTTGAAAACTCGAATGGCTTGCTAGCTCATGGCAAAGAAATGGTAGGGCGAGTGTCTTTAAAATGTATGTAAAAGTCATCTTTACTTTGCATACATTTATAACCTGACCCCACTAGTCGAGTGCGAGAGACTTTCAATCATCTCTAAAAATTCCAAGTGAGATCCTACGTGCTCTATCTCTCATGCTATGCTTTGTGATTCCTATGTTTGAACAATTGAAAATGATGAGAACTAATCCGCATTTTATGCAGTTCTTGCATCTAAGTCGGAGTTTCCCATGTCACATGAGTGTTATGATCAAATGTCGTCTTTGGTGGTTGCCAACATCCATATTATAAGAAAATTTGTATCGATTTTGATTGTTACTTGTGATTCACCTTATTTCCCACTATTGTGTGTTTGAGAGTTTTGAATAACAGGAAACGAGTTTTACAATTGAACTCGGGATTTATGTGCTTTACTTGAGGACAAGCAAAGATTCAAGTGTGGGGGAGTTTGATACGCCTAGAAATACACATATTTATTCCCACATTTAAATATCCAATTGGCTTGTAACACAAAATAAGTACAGTTGTTTTCCAGTTTTACGCTTGAGGGAGCTAGAGCTGAATTAGACGCGTCTACCAAGCAAGCAACTCAGCAATTGGAAGTCAAAGCAAGTAGCTTAAGTTAGCAACTGGTACAAATAGCTCAGGTCTCACAGACAAAGAGGTTAAGCAAGTAGCTGAGGTGGAACTATGCCGCAAGTGCAAATGGAAAAAGCAGGCTGGTTCAAATAAAAAAGCTAGCACGTCAATTATATGGAAGCAGGTTGCTTGAATTAAATGGACAAGCTTGCTTCCATGAACGGCCAACTTAGATGGAAGCAAGCAAGTAGCTCAAATTAAATGGACATTGCTGGGTGGAATGTATAAGCATTGAGCCTGGTTGCATGGGGTGCAAATTTGACAATTTTGAGTACTCATCTCGAGCTCACAAATCCATCTCCGACGTTGGTTCCTCAATTCTCCTTTTCAATCATGATTTGAGACGAGTTGGCCCTTTTCTCTCCTACATGTCTCTGAATATCCTGAAACATCAAAACACACAAAACCAAGCGTAAAACTGGAAAACAACTGAACTTATTTTGTGTTACAAGCCAATTGGATACTTAAATGTGGGAATAAATATGTGTATTTCTAAGCATATCAACGGCCAAGTATAACCGACGATCGGTTGTAGCATAGGGTAAGCAAGAAATAAAAATATCGAACTAGGGGTCTTCTTGGTGTACCTTACTTCGGGATAGGTTTTGTTATCTAGGCAACCTAGGATAGTGGTTAGGAAAACTAAACTAACTAACCTAGTTAATTACAAGTTGTGGAGCTCTCTTACCTTGAATCCCCCTAGTTCTTTTGCTTGGATGGATGTTGAGTACCATTCTAGCTCGATCGACTCACTATCCTACCATTATGAGATAGACTCACTAGGGATTAACCAAAACGGCAAAGTGATGGATGGGTGGTGCTCTATTCAACCTAGGGATTTGTATATTGTTAGGAGGTTGATTGAATCAACTCCCTCGTGGATTACCCGAACAAAATACGATAGGAGTGACCCAAAGACGCCAATAATGGGCTCTAAGGTGATCAACCCAAGTGTCTAGTTAAGCTCCAACATTACTCAAGGTCACTCTCTCTCTCTCTCTAAAAACTCCTCTTTTGTGTTTTGGGTCGAAATCCTAGAAAGAGAACCAAGTTCTTCTCCAAAAACCAGCTCTCCCAACTTCCTTCTATTTATACTGCCCGAGCGTCATCATCACGGGCTGAACATCACGATCGTGACATTGACAGCCTGCACGTGATCACGACCCAAGGCGCAACATATATATACCATTTTAGTCCATCTTCACGGCTAGCTGGTAAAGATCACGGTCTGGTGATGTCACTGATAAATCTTCATGGGATGGGGACCGTGACAAAACCTCCCAGCCTGTGATGTCACCACTTTCTCTCATATTTTGGTGCTTTTAGACCTCCATTCGTCTTGAAACTCGTTCTCGACCTTCCTCACATACTAGGACTTGATATATAACAAAAGTGGCATAATCTAGAGTAAAATAGGTCGAGAGACGATGAATTCCAAGTCTAACATTCAACATATAAGGGGTGAAAACATGTGTAATTATGCCCGAATCAAACTCCCCCGCACTTGAACGTTTGTTTGTCCCCAAACAAACCAAGTACAACACAATGTAAGCTTACAAATTATTTATGAACAAACTTTGGGGCTATTTGACACCAACGTATGGACAACCACAACAATAATCCTGAAAACCACCACAAATGACATTCGTATGTAATAGAACCGTGTAAAGGAATAGTTCTCACCTTGTTCACAGACCAATACATAAACTGTAATGATGACTCACTAATCATAGTTATACATGCAAAAGATCTCCTCATAGGAATAAACGATCGAGTAAACTAGGTCCTCACTAGGGTACATGATAATATGAAGAAAGAATCACTCACTCTAGACCAATGGGTTCATAACCATTTGATGCAAAAGATATGCATACTCATTCGCTCAGCTCTATCGTCTCTTTACCCTAGTAGTAAATGCTAGAGCTCACAAGATAGATGTCACCACGAGCTTGTCATAAGGTTTTAGACACAAGTTCAGATGACTAGCTAGGGGATAGGACATGGGGAAAAGGCTTTTTGGGTGGTGGTACATGTAGCATGAGGTTCCACAATTTTACCTAACCTATTCACAACGACCAAAGACCACTCACGAGTCACAACCATCACAAACCACATGTTCTACAATTACAAACCTCAACCAATCACGAACACTATCTGCACACACTTTCTTTGCTACAACTGCTTTGAAACTGTTTAAGCACAAGAGTGAAGGAGGTAAACAACCATGTATGTGTTCCTAATCTTGACTGCTAAGAAACACACTTTTAGAGCATAAACAACTTTGTGGCCACTCTCTTTTTTTATTTTCCCTCTTTGTTCTTTCTTCTTTATCCTTTCTTTTTTCCTTTCTTTTTTTATTTTTCGGGGCTAGAAGAGAGCTAACAAAATATGTCATATTCTTTGCACTTTATGAACACATGCTCACTTTTTAAGAACTTTCTCCGATACTCATTTTCATATTTAACAGAAACCATTAAAGACTCACAATATAAAACCTCAATGGAACTCAAATACGGGAGCTCTGAGACATAAGGATGACTAAACAATGGTGTAGACACGAAGAAAGTCAGGGTCACTCTAATGAATCGCAATTAATCTCAAATAGTGGAAGTTAAACAACACAAGAGCGACCCTAGGACATTCGATGACCCTAAGTATCTAGATATGCATAGTAACCCTAAGATAGGGGGA